CACACTCTCTCTCTCACACACACACACACACACACACTCTCTCACACACTCACACTCACACACATACACATACACACACACACACTCTCTCTCTCTCACACACACACTCACACTCACACCCTCTCACACACACACACACACACTCACCTGAAGCAGGAGCTGGATGGAGCAATTTACTGAGATCGAGTGAACCCTCATCTGAAACAAATCGGAAGTGATTTTACAGTAGTTAATGATAAGACTGTAATGACGGAGTGAAAACATCAACATGCAAAATTATTAAAAAGTGTCTCATTTATAAAAAATATTTTGACTCTTAATTCAGAACCTTATAATCCGTTCAGCAGCAGTTGGGAATAGAGACTTCTTTGTTAAGCGTCTTCAAGCTTTGTGCTGGATTTGAGCCATTTATCCCATTTTTCCTGGAACATCCTCTCAATTGCAATTAGTTCCTACCATGTAAGTATAACAAATTCACTGCAATATCTTAAAATAACTGTCGCTAATGTCAGATGCTCCTTGTAAAGTCACTTGTGTTTCAGTGCAACAGTTGTCATAATTTTAAGATAAAAGTGTAAAAAGATTGTACTGCTTAAGACTCAAATACACTGTTGCTGCACGTTTTTGCCTTTAGCTGGACGACCAACCCATTTTTCTTGTGCTATTTAGCATGATGGAGAAATAAATGGAAAGCAGGGAAATTTTATGCATAAAGCACCTTTCATACAAAGAACTAGATTCAAGGTGTAGAAAAATAGGTTTCAAAGTATTACAATCCTCTGGAGAGGAAATGGAGCATCAAAGCAAAGCTTTGAGCTTTACTCTAATTATAAATGACCAGTGAATGAAGGCCAGCTTCCTGACCTGACCCATGTGTATTTTGGCAGGTGGTTGTGAGAGAAAAACCTGACGTGTCTCTGATAAGAAGTGTCTCTCTGCATGTGCCACGTTGTCAAACAGAGAGCTCAGTTGTTGAATCAAACACGTTTCCTTTTTGACGAGAAACAGCAGCAGCAGACGTCCAATCTGACCTGAGCCATGTCTGGACTGAACGCATCACTCGGATACTTTGTGACTCTGGTGATTTTTGCAGCCTCAGTTCGAACATTTCTTAAAAAATGGCCCCAGTTAAGCTTTGTTCTGGAGTTTGCCTCCTCTTTCATGCTGGTGGGCTGTTGGCTGGAGGTGCAGACCATAGTAGAGGTGGGTCAGTGGGCTGGGGGCTTGGGTCCTGATGTGACTGTGACCATGCTGTTTGTGGTCCTGCTGACCCACGGTGTGGTCTGTGGTGGAGCATCAGGGAATCCTAACCTGGTTGTGCTGAGGTTCCTGCAGCTGGAGGCCTGCATTCTTCCCACGCTGCTGTCGGTCATGTCCCAGTTCCTCGGGGCCCATCTAGCCCTCTTTATTGCTGCGTACTACTGGAGCCTGGAGCTGACTGACATGCACATGATCAAAAACCTGATGGCTTCATCTTGCAGCACTTCCCTGCTGGTCTCTTTGCTTCAGGGTTTTTTTACAGAGTGTGTTTGTGCCTGTATCTTTCACCTCGTCCAACTAAACCTGCAACGCAGATCTGCTCTGATCCGGGTCCCTCTGATCGCTGTCCTCCTCACATTCCTGTCCCAAACAGGTAAATTTGAGCAGAACCTGGAGCATTCATCTCTAAAATGACCCTTCAAAACTTCCCTTATACAACAAAACTTTGTATTTATCAAAAAGAGAAAACGAGAGCAGGAAAAATGGAGACAAAAATATACATACATATAAAAAAAAATTAAACAAAACATTTAGGATATCAGATTTCTCTCTCCTGTGGCTCAGTAAATATGCAGTAATCTGAGATCAGTGTGTGTACCACAAGGTAACAATAGGAAAAAAAAAAATTAGACCAGAAGTTTATTTCCACTCTTCAGTAATGAGTCAGTCACCACCAGGGTCGTGCTTCAGTTTTTTCTTTTAATGAAGAAGAAACTTACAACAGATGTTCAGACTGTGACATGAAATAATCACACAAAATGTTTTCAATCACTTGTTTACAATCAAATTATTAATAAGATTAAATCAATTGGTCTCCACCTTCATTTTCTTATCATACATTTAAAGCTCTGAGCTTTAAATGTTTGTATTTTGGACAGTTATAAAAAAATGTTGTCCCCTTTCTTTTGCATAAAGAAAAACTAACAAATTTGATTTTCCTTTTTGCAGCCAGCGGCTTCACCTCAGCTTATATAAATCCATCTTTGTCTTACGGCCTCACCTTCCACTGCCCTGGATTTACCCTCACAGAGTACATGGTGGTCTACTGGCTGGGCCCGCTCACGGGTAAGCTATAATTAAATTCAATATACATGCATGTCAGTGTCAGTTCTTCAAAGTGAACACTCTGCTTACAGTGACTGGTCTGTTTTCTAGGCATGATCCTGGCTCTGCTCTTGTACATGGGTCATATTCCAAGGATTTTTGCCAAGAACCTTCTCTATTTCCAGAAGACTCGTTTCAGAGTGCCCAAAGGAGACAAAGGAGAGAAGAAGAAAATGTGAAAGAAACTACAATCAGCCCTTTAGGAAAGTAGATAATAGATAACAATTGGTCAAGATATTTTTACCTCAACCTAACAAGCATCTGCAAACTGTCAAATAATTGTGATAAACAATAATAATAATAACATTAATACCTAAAATGTACAAACTTTCACAATTGTTTTCTGCTATTTTCAATGAAATCTAGAGCATTTGGTGGCATCAAGAATGACTCCATAACAGGCAGTGATACAAGCTACAGATGGTTCAGAGGCCAAAACATATTCTAAATCAACAGAATGGAATTAATGTAAAACAGAAGTGAAGAGTTGGCTTTTAGACACATACAGCAGCTTCCTCTGATTCTGCGTGTTCAACACAGCAGCATATACTTTATTTAAAAAAAAAGAAACATCAGTCATCAAAATATCAAAGTCAGAAGAGAGAAACTGCTGTTATGTGCTGTCTTTACTCTGGGTGGTGCTGGATTTAGAGGATTTAGACCCATCAGCTTTTTTGTCTTTTTTTGTCTGGTGTTGAGCAGAATGGCCTGAATCTGTGGACAAAGAGGGAATAAAAAGAAAACATTCAGTACCAAGTGCAAAACTATGGAAAATGTTTTAATTGCCTGAGTAAAAGTGAGTTTGTGGCTTGATTCTAATTCCAAATTATTGTGTAGCCAGTTTACACAGTGATAGTGATGTAATGATTGTGTATAGTGTTCATTTGAACTTCATCACCTGGTTGTTTTTGTTGATCCATCTGAGCCTTGGGGTTATCTACCCATAAACAATAATCTGGATTATTCAGCAGTGTCTTGCTCTGCCCACAGCTGAGACACCTCACAACAGTGAAGCGAGTCTTGCGGTTTTTCCCTTAGAAGACAAAGTCCAAAATAGATTAGCGATTCAGAATAAGATATTTATTTCTATAAACGAGCTAAATAAACCCTGAGATCTGTCATTACACTCGGCATGCAATATAAAGTAACATGGGAAATGTAAACTACAGTAATGACGCTGTGCTTCTCAATGGCAAACTTACTTTGTTGTCTTGTTGTAGCAGTCACACCAGGGATAAGTAAAGAGAAGCACTTCTTGCATATTGTCCTCTTCACTGATGGATCTCTGCAATAAAGATGAAACATTAACTGATATGGAAAACCCCATTTAGGGCTGGAGAGATGTAACTTGATTAAACAATAAAGCTGGCCCCTGAAAAACTTGAGTTGTCCTCTTTAGCAGTGTTCCAACTTAAACTAACAAGTCTGTGGCTCTAATCCAAATCCATTGGTTCTTAAAAAAATGCTAATTATTTAAAATATGTTGTTTCATTACAAAAAGTGCAGTCATTACTAATGCAGTGAACTTTACACATGCAGGAGTAAACTGTGGAAGTTTATATAAATACACAAGTGTACAAACCTTTGTCTGAAATTATGGATCAAAGGGATTTTACAGTAGAGTAAATATAGAGCATAATGCCTTTTTTCAATGCAAAATAATGAACTTTGAGGCTGAATTTCTCAAAAATGATACAGTAAATATGCTTGATGCTGAGTGAGTGAACAGTCAGGATGGTCCTGAGGACAACTTTTGACAACCTTTGTCAGAAATTATGGATCAAAGTGATTTTACAGTAGAGTTAAAGATTGGCTCGCTCCGTATCATGGACTACCTGCATTTGCCATACACTCTGTAATACGGGCGCACTTGAAATCAGGAAAAGACGAACGCCTGCTCACTTGACCGCAGTGATATAGAGACAGATGAAACTCACTGTCTGAGAACCAGACGTCTCGCTACGGTCCTCTGTGTGAAGCTGTAGAAACGAGCCAGCTCCACATTCTCTGGGTTCTGAGATAAAACACAGTGAGCAGCCTGTGGAGGTAAAAACCAGGACAGCGAGTGAGTGAATAGCCAGGTGGCTAACGGCTAACACGTTAGCCATGCGATTAGCAAGTAGCTTTACTGTTCGTTTCCTACCTGGTACAGATAGTTCAGTCTCTGGTAAGCTTCTTTGTCTTTTAGCTGTTGTGCCATTACACTGAAATATCAGAGAAAGACAGTCTCTGTTTCGTCCTCTTGTTAAAACTTCACAATTTGAGCGTTAGAAGCCTGAGCTCTGCTAATATCAGTGGCTGCTACACTTCCGGGCCACTCCGTCACAATAAAAGTGCCAAACAAACGTAAACCACTGAACAATGGTCGATATACTAATTTAAAATAAAGACACTTCAGAGTTAAGTTATTAACATACAAAACATTTGGATCCTCACTATCTGTTGAGAATAACTAACACTAATTATTAGTTTATTTTGGATTCGATTCTTTTGTAGTTTGATTCAATGTAATGCAAAAGTAGAAGTATCAGAAGATTTACCTTTCATATAAATAACATAAGATAATGGCCTTCCCTTGGATTTGATTTCCTTTCTCAAAGCCCATCAAGATTTATCAGCAACATTCAATCATGGCATAAATATTACTCAAGTTCATACTTTGCACAAGATTTCAGTAAATCCAAATGACCCAAAAACATAAATGAAATAAATAAAAGTTTTATACCAATCAAAAATAGCACATTTTCATCAAACCACCTATTAATTCCATTTAAAAATGGTATGGCAAATTGTTAATGATCTACAGCACTGCTTTTACTCATTTATTTTCCTGTGAGTGTCTTAAAAAAAGGTGAAATGACTGCACACATTCACGTTCACAACCAAAACACAAAAGCAATAACAGTTGCATTTATTTCGAGTGCACAGACAAAGTTGTTAGTCATCCAGATGAGAAAAAGAAACAGTCAACAAATTGTCTTCACCAGCCTTCGACAGCTTATCACAATGATATGGCCAATAGTTTTTTTTTTGTCAAAGTAATTATGAAGTACACAATATACACATGGAGAAAGCACATTTGTTTAGTCCAGAAGAACACAAAGGACAGAGTTCAACATACAATACTCATTTTTAATAACAACAATAGAGAAGAAAGTATAAACCCTGTCAATCTAACAATTTAATTTGCCTGTAAGGTGCACCTCTGATATCAGGAGTCTAATGATACAGGGGAAGAAGTGGTACAGTAGGTCTTTAAGCTGATGGCAATCAGAGATCGGCATGAACACGACAAATGTTCACGATGATGAATGCACTGAAATGTTTCCTATAAAATTGATGAGGGAAAATGTCCATTAAAACACGGGTTGAAGGAAATAGCATGAGTGTTCTTTGAATGAGACCCAGTACGGAACAAGAAGGGGACACATATGAAATTCAAGTATCAAAAAAACTAAGACACTGACAAGCTGAAAAGGTAAATTACAAAGGTAGTAAAAATCATGGGGAAAGAGACACTGACACAATCAACAATACATTAGGCAACATTTTGCATTTGTTTAAGGCAGTTGATTAAAAAACTAAACAGAACTAGGCATCTTCTTCATTCCAAGTTAAATACAAGCCTAGCCCTAACATGTCACCAGGAGATTTGTTGTACAAAAACAACTACGACTGACTCTGAAACTAAGCACTTGAGTTTGACTTGTCTTCTGACGTCTGAGTGAGACTAGAGTTCATATGGACAGCGGTGGGGTTGTGCTCTGTATTTTTGGTCTTCTTCACAGTGAGGTTTTTCAGGGCTTATAAGGCTGGTGCATCAAGAGCGGCAAGTCAATCTCAGCCTATTGTCTGGCACAAAATCTAAATGGTTGGCACATATCTGTGCACAGCATGGGAAGGCAGGGGAGCTAGTTTCATCAGCTAACGATTGCCCTTCATGGCCTCCTTGGCTGCCAGGATGAGAGGCGTGAGGCTGGACAGCGGCTTCGCCAGCTTCAGGAACGGATGCTGCACAACAGGAAGGAAATCAACAAAGAGAAGAGGAGTAGAGGAGGAGATAGAATAAATTCAAATGTTATCTTAGTTAATCTTTTTTAGATTTCAATGAAAGAGAGATCCAGTAACAGGAAAAGTAAATAACCTGCAGCAGCTCTTTGCCTCCACCTCTTTTCTCTACGTCCATTTCCAAGCAACGGTTCAGGAAATCTCTGAAATCTGGAGACAGCTTCTCAGGATTCTGAAGCTCGGGTGTGCCGTTCGTAGCGATCAGATATAATGCCTGGCAAAGTGAACGAGATGAGAGACACAAAGAACACAAAGAACTGTGAAATCTAGTAAAAGGTAACAATTCACTTCACATTAATTGAACCGGGGAAAATTGGCCATCTATTAGAAATGAGCTCAATGACAGCCGAGCATTCTGACTTTACAAAAGCCAACAGCATAAAGCATGTGATAAGATAATGGGTTCTTATTTTAGTTTACAGGTGTGTAATGTCTCATCCCACAAACATTATTGTATAAAGCAGACCAACTTAAATTTTTGAAGTTCTGTTAATGAAGTCTAAGACATTTTAATATCTTATAAAGCTTCTTTTAACACTAGATTTTATTTACCGAAGGACGTGTACATTCCACTACAGCTGTAAAAAGTTGCCTGATTCAACCGACATATTGAAAGAACACTGGAATATTAAAACACAAAAGTAATACAAGAAAATAAACTTCCGATAACATTCAGTCAACTCTTCAGTGTTTGGTTCATTCCTTAAATCTTGTTACTGCACAGGGGGAGGCAGGGAGGATGACGCTTCATCTCTGAAGCGTGCTTATTGCGTGCAATATGGTTTTGTTTACCCTCATTCGAGAGAAAGAAAAAGAGAGATAAGGAGAAAGAGCACGAGACACCGAACAAACACAGAGACCCTGAATCTCTAGAGGAACAGCACCTTTGAGGCGCGTCTAATAGGCAAAATGTTATCAAAAATTATTACTTTTCATTTTTTATATAGTTTGAATATTAGAAATAATTATAAATTAAATTTGAATGGGATCATAAAGGAAGATTGACTGCTCTATTAGTCACTAATAATTTTGCATCTTGGTATTAAAAATACATATCTGTGGTGATTATAAATATTACACTGTGTCTCTAAACCTAATATTCTAATTGTACAAATGATTTAAATGACAAAAGTGAAGGAAATAAGCACATCATATAACCAAGACTAAAGTAAATAACACATTCTGGCTCATCTTACAACACAAGAGGACGGAAAACGCTCTCTACTCACTCGTAGTGGGTTCTCGTTCAGGTAGGGAGGCTCTCCTTCGACCATCTCAATGGCCATTATACCCAGCGACCAAATGTCTACTTTAGGCCCATAAGCCTTCCTGGTCACCACCTCAGGAGCCATCCAGTAGGGCGTCCCAACCATGGTGCTGCGTTTGTTCTGCTCTGGAGTGATCTGGGCACAGAAGCCAAAATCGGCTGTCGTACAGAAGAGTGAATACATAGTCACAGTAAAAGGACATGGTGTTGTAAGTTTATGAGGCTTTACAATGAGACTTACTTAATTTGACGGAGCCGTCCATGCCAAGTAAGACGTTGTCACTCTTAATGTCTCTGTGGATGACTTGGTTCGCATGTAGGAATTCCAGAGCTTGTAAACACTGCAGGTATAGAGATGACAGAGGAAATATATTGAACATAAAGCTTTTGAGGGAGTTAATTTATAGTTTCTTTTCTATGAACCTTTCTATGAAGCTTTTAAGAGAAGTTTACCTCTCGACAGACAGCTGCTATCTGGGCCTCGTCCATACAGGTCTCTGTGACCACATCTGTCAACGAACCACCAGCCAGGTACTCCATCACCACAAACAGCTCCTCCCCCATCAGGAAACTGACAAACACACCACATCAAACATTTAAGACACAATATATTACATTCCACAACAAATCAAATCCAACCATGTTAAAGTGATAACCTCTATAGATGTTATCATCATTAGATGTCAGGCTGTGGGTTCACACTGACTCTTACCTGTCTAAAAAGTTGACGATGTTGGGGTTCTTCAGCTCCTTCATCACTAGAATCTCATTGATGATCAGCTCCTTCTTCGGCTGTTTCTGTAGGTTAATCTGTTTGATAGCCACCTGTTGAAAGACAGAGTAAGAGACCACATGGTTTGAATGAACCAAACTCTTCAATACTAAATTATCTCCTGCTCATCTGTGTACAGATGTTTTAGACCTGTCTGCTTTCTCTGATTCTTTGACTGTATATTTAAACACTTCTTATTAAGGTCTTGTATTACAGTTGCTATATTAATACAATTTGTCAGAAATTGTTAACTATTGTGAAGATTGTTAAGGACCTTCTATATAGCCTGCACAATTCAATTCCTCCTAATATAAAACTAGTAGTACAACTAGTTGCTCTGTCACTGAAATAATTTCTGTATGTAAGTATTCTCTATGCAACTCGTGTATCACAATCAGTCTACAACATTACTTCACTGTGTCCCTGGTTAATGTTACAGTCTCCATCACTCCTCACCTCCTGTCCAGTTGCAACATCAATTGCTGTGAATACTGTTCCTGACGCCCTGTCAGAAGAATGACAAGTTTATTTCAACCCACATTTCAACAAACACTCCACTCAAGCATGTCTGCAAATCTACTAGACAGAAGGGTTTCAGGTTTGTATTCAATAGTTCTTAGTCTTAAAACTGGCAGTCTTATTTTCCACTTTATGCGACTTCAAACTTCCTCTCTGATACATCACATACACACCTCAGAGAGAATTGTATTTTATACTCCATTACATTCATTTGTCAGCTTCAGTTCCTTTTAAAATGAAGATGTCTAACAATAGATAACATAACAAGCTGTTGAAACACATAGCCAAAGACTAAACCAGTGGTTTTGAACAATTTTGGCTTCAGAAAAAGCCATTTACATTTTTTCAAATGTCTGAGTTGTTCAAACAGTTTCTCTCTGAAGTTCTCAAATGCTTTTAATGATCAAGTATCTCACCAAATCAAAGACACAAACAAGCTCTCACAATAGATCAATGGTCTCTGTTATATTATATATATATTATATTATAAAATATTTTAGAACATATTTTGCTCTAGCTCCACCTGCTACTTACACAACTCCTTCAATATTAATTATCTTATGATGTCATTGAGCTTAATCAAATATCATAATAATAGGTCAAACAAGTACTTTTAATTCAAAACTTTAACTAAACTATTAGTAGTGTGGCAGTCTGGAATTAATTGGTTCAATAACCACTGCTGGCTTATGTTCAGAAGTCTACTGATGCCCTTTCACCCCCTTCCCATGGTTATGACAAGTTTCACAATCTTGTTAACTACTTGCTCATGCAGTACCTTAACATGTGGATTCATGTTGCTGTAGACAAAACTTGAGCCAAAACTGAGGAAGCTGTTAAACAACTAACTGTAAGAACAAGGATTTCAAACTGTGTTCTTCCAGTTTGACTTCAAATCATAGGTGGAATTATTCTGAACTATTCAGAGATACTGCACATGAAACAAGCCTATTATTGTCAGTGTCTTTATCTGTCTTCATTAAATACAAAACTGATGATGCAGGAAAATCTTTTACTCAAAGCTGGTTTTCATCTGTGACTCCAACTGCTCAGCTTTTTTCAAAAGTTCAAATCCGATTTTACGATCAAGTAATACAGAAAACCAGATGATAATTACAAAGGATTCACATATTTTTTCTTGCCACTATAATTTACACATTCTGCTTCACATAACTGGAATATTCAGATGCGATAGTCAGCAAGAAAACACATTCAGCACAAACAGTGACTTGCTCCCATACTAAATGAAATATATTTAATTAAAAAAAGCTTTGTAGACATCAGGCAGTTTAAATACACCTTAGTGGAGCCTAGCAGTCAATAAAGTCAAGGTCATGCAACCTGTGGAACCTGAGAACCTGTGCTTGGGGACCAAATAGGTCTTCTTGAGACAATAAAGGCGTTTACATTATTATGGAGGCATTACTAAAACATAAATCCTATCAAATGTTACATTGAAAACAGATGAATCTGCACTCACCCCTGCCCAATTTTTTCATATCTGGTGTACTTCTTCTTGGGATCTCCAATGCTGACGATGGTTCCTATGAGTCACAAACAAATCCCATGAAGAATATAAGGAAATGACGAATAAAAGTGACAGAAGACATTTAAACTGCTGTATTGTTATGATAATATATAATATATAATAAACTAGGTTTACTCAGTTTATCCATTATCTCCTCATCAGACATCTTGTTCTTCTTCTTCTGTCTGTCTGCAGCCTTGGAGGCAGAATCTCCGTCTGGACACGTGCTCGGTGCAGGGATGGGGTCAATAACAGAGCGAGTATACACCTACACAACAAACCAAAACAATAACCAACAACAACTAATATACGAACATGAAGTACACAAAGAAGGCAAAGGAAAGTAAACATTTTGCAATGATTCCCAAACATAATAATTATGATCTCAACCTATGGCAGGTCACTTACACTCTTGGTGTGTTCTGGTCGTGGTGCCACAACAGGAGGAGGAGTTTCATCATCGTCATCATCATCAATGTCTTTGATATTCGGAGATGAGGGTTCACTGCCTTTTTTCACAGGCTAATTCAGAACGGGAAAAAAAAGTCTGTAATTTCTGTAAGGTAGAACAGAATACAAAACAAATAATAGAAAGCATGTGACTTTCAAAGGTCCTTCAATACTTACAGATGGAGGCCCTGGAGTGAATGTGTCTTTTTCTGTGAATGAATTAACAAATCATGTTTTTTTAGGTATATGTGATGACAGATTAAACTAGTATTTCATTTCTAGTCTAACCCATTGCAATGCCAATTTAATCACTGTATTACATAAGGTAACACTGATCAAATTCCTGTCGATAAGGTGGAGATTACATTTAAAGCAATATCTAACTTGTATCTACAAAAGTGAATCTTTTATTTATTGTTTTTAGTGGAACAACCTCGCAACAAATATCCTCTACTGAACTAGAAGATGCATTTTATTATTCCAAGTGACAATGTAAGTAACCAAACAGAACTTAAATCCTCTATCTAACTTACCAGAGGATGAGAAGCTAAGGTACTTCTGACGACCATTGCCCGTGGAGTCATAGAACTTAAGAACAGCAAGCACAGTCTGAGGGTTTTTCTTCTGCTCTGACTTTGTGATGTTTGAGGTCTGGAGTAATCGAGCCCATTGCTCTGGCATACCCTGTGTATAAAAAATAGATGAGAAGAGTGTCAAAATGGTCAAATGTCGAGTGCCATAAAGTAGGAGTTAGTGCAAAAAAAAAGAAAGAAAGAAGGAAATCCAAACAATCAAAACTCACAGTGAACTCCCCTGTGACAGCATCAAACCCAACGTGTATGGTGTGTTCAAAATCTGAAGGTGGTGAGATCTCTGGTCGCTCTTTATCTTTGTCTTTCTTTCTGCCACCTGAAAGTGGCATGACAACCCTTAGACCGAAAACAAACACTAGAGTAACGTCATGTTAGATATTTTTCTTTCAGTGGTGCCGAAACTTTGGTCTCACCTTTTTCCGCCCCTGAGAAGATTGAGATGATCTTGTTGCGTGGTTTCCTTTCTTCAGGCACAGAAGGCAGCGGTTTAGAGCTGTGGTTGGCTGAAAGTGAGTCTTTGCCTGAGCTGGTGCTGAAGATGGTGCTGCTCATTCTGACTGGAGGGGCTGGGGGTTTATCCTCAGGGTCTCCGTTATCACACATTATTGCCTTAAGTTTTTCGAGAGCCTCACAAGGCTAACGAGGCAGGGGAACACAACAGGGCAAGGATGGAGAGGGCAGCAAAAGGAGAGGGAGCGAGGTGGTGCTCACATCAGCATGAGGCTCAGGTGTGCTCATGCACAATGAGAGGATGTGCAGAAGATGACAGCGGAAGAGACAGGAAGCACCCGGTTGTACCTGGAAGAATATGTGACGTTAAGAAGATAATACACATTGTAAGAAGATCACAAATACAGCAGGCTGAGAAATACATAGGAACTACTTCCTAACGTAAAGCAATATAATGAAGAGCTAAACTCTACACAATATGTTTTCATCTTTCACACACACAAAGTACAACTACTCGGATTCAAATCAGCCACCCTCCAGTCCACTGTGTCAACAAACATCTTTACTAATGATTCAAGTTTTGTGAAGCGAGTTTTGTGTTGAGTCTGTAAAGACGACCGATTGTTTGGTGAATAAATAAAGAGGGTGAGAGAAGAGACAACAGGTTCAAGGGGAGACTGTTGTTGGTGGAGCAGCAATACTTTCTATTTAGCTGAGTAGTTTCTCTTAAAGATGAGCCCAGATGAACTCAGAGAATAATGGAAGTTGCTCTTCTCACAGTAATAGAGGCAGACATGCAACACTTTGTTGCATCTTGGTAAAATATACCGAGTGCACACGTTGGTTTTTCAGTCCATTATTTCCCCATATATCGGTGCTTGTATCTTCCAAAGTGTCCTTCAAATATGTAACAACAGGGGCGGCTAGCAGGCTAACGCTAGCATGAAGTACTTGGCCAACAAGTGTGCTAGCATTGCGCTAGCGTTAGCACGGTAAGCTACATTAGCGTCTGCAATCTTTATAGAGGAGCGTTAAGTGCTCGACTGATAGCAAACTGGTCTTGTGGCTGAAATGAAGTTTCCCCCTGAAGAAGTTAACAATGTGAAGATGTGTCAGAGGAAGCAGAAATAGTAAAGTAGCCAACGAGCTAACTAGCGCAGAGGAGCTTTATTCTCAGGCTAACGAAGCAGGAGCAGCGGAGCTCACCGGAGATTCCTCACCAGCTAAACTTGAACACAACTTGACTCCTGGACGATCCTCGACGGTCTGTGGCGACTCCGTAAATCCGTCAAAAGCACCTCCTCTGGAACATGTGGCCCCGCTGGTTCACACCGCGCACAAATAACTTAGAGGAAACGCCAATGCAACTATTTACAATTCAACTTTTCTTCTATCTTTTGGGCCCTTGGATTATTCCGCTATGTCGTAGGGGAAGCGGAACTACCGACCCAGCCCTGCTACAGCCTATTCAGTCTGTACTGGGGCTTTGGGATGAATGGTGTCTATCTGAGTGCAGACATCACAGCCTGTCTGCTCTGATGACACTACAACACCACTACACTCTCACATCATCACACTCAGGAAACTGACTGTGACAAGATGCATTTAGCTCCAAAGCATTTTAGATCATCCAGTTCATTTTTAGTGTGAAGGAGAGGCTGGTTAATATACAGCTTTACCTGGAGTATAAAAGTGTAAAGCCCCGGTCCTGTGCAAAATTTGTGCAAATTGAGCTGAGACGTGGTTGTGTTTGAATCATGATGCACACTTTTATTGCATACCATGAGTGTGATCTCTTATCCACACCAGTGTAGCAATCTAACATGTCCATATATGGTGCAGATGTTTGAATGGGTCAAATGTAGTTCTGTAGATCAATAATATACATATAGTTTCCATATCATCCTTTGTTGTCCTGTAGGTGATTGTGACATTTGACCTGTGTTTGGGCAAATTTAAAAAACACAAGGAAACAAGGGGAAAAGAATGATACCCATGTACGTACATGTATTTGTTTTATTTACAGCAGCCTTGTGTACGTCTGTAATGTTCATCTGTTTAAACCTCTTTATATACAGTCTATGGTTTAAACACAGAATCTCAAAATACTTTACAAAAAGGTTGTAGTTATAATGCTGTAAGTCAAACATAAACTATTTTCAAGATAAATGTCACATTATTATTTCATTTAGTTTAAAGACTTGGTTGCATTTTTAAACTCTACTTTATGAGCAGAGACAAACACTTGATTGAATTTGAGGTAGATCAATCCTGTGTTATACCTCCACACAGTGCTTACACAATGCATAAGAAATATTTCAATCTACATTGAACCTTTGTTATATTGCTATGAAAAATTGTATTGTGATAATTATTGATATTGTTTTATTGCCCAACCCAAGGTACAACAGAATAAAAAGAAACTTCCCTGTTAACATGTATTAAGATAGGAATTTGTCCTAAGTTAAACAAGACAAAAGTCACCACAGAGCATAGAGAGCAGTGGAAGTTAAGAGAGTAGATTTTACTTTTGGTTACTTGGATCTTGAATATTGTTTGCAAATTGGATTTAGAGCTTCCTATAAACATGATAGGTGGCAACACCTCATTCCTGTGAGGCCAAGTGTTTTCAAACCCAGTAAATAAACAATTGCCATCTTCTACTATGCCCTGGGCCATGCTACTCTCTCTGACCCAAGATTATAACCACAAAAAACATGTAACAGGCCTGTTTCAAAAGGTGGGTTATCTGGATTATTTTGCAGAGAAAGACTTGAAACTTCTCTAATTATGGAACCTGATCTAGATAGTGTCATCTCCAGGGATGTTCACTTCTCATTTTAAACTATTGATATACATCTGATCTATTATATCCGTCTCTTTATGTCTGTGTTATCTTTTAATGCCCATTTGATGTTGCTGAATATAACAATATCATAATCATCCCGGTATCAGACAAAACAATACAATTATGTAAACTATTAAGGTATGCTGACCATTACTGAATTATTTGATGATTCCACATGTATTTGGACAGCACCACACAGCAGATCATTGTGACCAGAAGAGTTCCACCACACACAGGCATCACCAGAGACCTGTCACCGACTGGGATCTGCACACTCACGGGACCATGCTTCGACAGGATAAAAGATATTTTTGAATGGGGAAAAAAAGAAACAACAGATAATTAGTATGATGAATTTTTTTTAAACTTTAAAAAAAATGTTTTTACACACAACATTTTGATAAGATTTTCAGTGAAACACCTGATGCTGCTGGATTTTAACCCATGCACAAGTGCTTGAGTTATCTACACTGCAGGGGGCATCCACAACAGTGCAAGGTTCCAAGTTTTTCAGCTGCAAACCTAGAAGTAAGAAAGACTTTTAGATTAACACTACACCATTAATCAATTTCGTTCTCTGTCAATAACAACATATGTGTGTACAGATATATATCCTTAAAGTTACAGTGTGTAGAATTTTGTCATATCTAGTGTTGAAATTGCATGTTGCAGCTGAACACCCCTCACCTCACCCTCTCCTTCCAAACATGAAAGAGAACCAGTGGCAGCCTTTAATTGTTATAAAACTCAAAAGGTGTTTAGTTTGTCCAGTCTGGACTAATGTAAAAAATATGGCGGCCTCCGTAGAGAGGGTCCCCTAAATGTAAATATAAAGTATTTAAATATAAAAGGCCTTTTCTGGGGTAAAGAAAACAACAATTCATACAATTTAGATGAAACGAACTAGTGAAAACATCATGAGGATTATTCTACATGAAATTTCTGCCAATAGTTTCCTTTCACCTAAATCTTACACACTGGACCTTTAACTAATAACTTCACTGTCTAGTGAGCAAAATTGGACCCCATAGTTTTGCATTATTTACTGCTGAAGGAGCTGAAATATTGATTTCCCAGCTGGACACTAGTGAGCTATATGATAAAACATTTTAATAACTTGTTTCTTAGAACAGAAGCACATGTGGCTAATCTGGCCATAGTATAAAAATGACCCACTTACATTTGTCATCCCGTAGCAGCAGCTCAGGAGGTTGGATGTCGACAGATGTAAATGTTTTCCCAACAGAAGAGGCCTCGTGATAGCGGCCATGTATCGGAATTGTTACTTTTAGCAGCCTGGGAGTTGGATCGTCAGGGGTGGGAAACACATAGCTGACAAATCCTGAAGTCTTTTGAGCAGGCACCTCAAGGTCAATGGCTGAATCGATCAATATCTTACAAAAAGCAACATACATAGTGAATGTGGTTAGGGATATTTATTTCAACGCTTTGCTTGTTTCTGTTCAGTTTTGTGGTATTAATCAAAGGTAACAAGATGTTGTATGTATGGGTTTCACCTGCCAATCCCTTTGATCTCTCAGGGATGCGAGCTGGTAGGGATCGATGAAGACACCTTGAGGCCATCGATAAACCAGCAAAACTCTGACACTACCGAGCACAGCAGGGCTGAGCTCAACAGTGGTTATCACCTCCCTAAACATGACAAAAATCATTTACTCATTTCACTCACAATAAGTCGTGAACATAGCAGTACCAGTAATAAAACTGCTCAGCAATTACCTGTGGAAACCTTGTTTACTAAGCTCCACAGACACTGATGTGGATTCAAGACACAGCTTCAGAGGATCACAATCCTTTGTGTCTGTAAAAATGTGCATGTTAGATTGATGAAGATCACAATACAAGCGAGAGCTCTTTTCATTCATTCTATTAATAATGCATTTATGACTGAAATAATCAGTTTACTTTTTAGTTTACTCTGACAAGGCATTAAATAAGAAAATGCCGCAGAAGCTATACGAAAGCTCAAACCAAAATATAAAGAAATTAGGTTTTAGGATTGGGGAATAAACGTTAAATATCCAACTACACAGTCAATACTGGAAGACCAAAGATACAACAAAGCCATAATTGTTTTTTTCATTCAAGAGACTGTAATACAATCAACATTATATTCCTTAACTACACTATGTTCTTCCTTCTGAGACTTCCTGTCAACATCATGTTTATCCTAACCTATCATACATTTTTACCAAAACTGAGTTCAAAGTTTTGGCAACAGTTAAGTAGTATATCAATATATCTTACCCTGTTCGATAGAACATTGACATGTTGCTAACCAGGTCAACAAAAAGAGCAATATCAAATACATTAAAATGTTAAAGGAGAATTTCAACCACCTATTTACAAACTATTTCTAGTATTTATCATAAGTTTCTGAATAGACTGCAGCAGGTTGGATTCCTGAACCCGGAAATAAGTGAGAGCTGTTTACGGAAAAGAAATAAAGAAGGGACCTTTTGTAGTTCCAGAGAAGCTGCGCCAGTGCCTGACGAAAAATAGAACGAACACAATCACGGGGGAAATGATTTTCTGCAAATTTTACGCATAAATATCACGTTTAGACAGTTTTTGTTTGTTAATGATATTTCCAGCGAGTGAAGTTTTCTTTAAAAAAAATATTTACTCTAAATGTAGACAGGCTTCGCTGAAGACTGAAAGATTTGACATCGACCAACGTTGCGAACAGGCAGCGTCAACGTCTCAATCTGCAGGATTCAGATAGTCTGCTGCTTCAGACTCTTCGTCACAAGCTAATGTCAACTATTCGTTATTATGGTTAAAATGCGCTATTGATTTAGTTTAAATACAGTTTAAACCAAGTTTGTAAGAGACATAAACAGAGGATGCTTTACGAAGCAAAGCGATGTGGAGTGAAGTTCTCTCCTGCCTCCATAGTTATAATTTATCAACACACGGAAACCAAAAAGATACGAAAGAGAATAATACCTTTAAGGAACTTCTCAAAGTATTCAGGTAAAACAAGATGTTCATTGTGCAACTTACACTTAAAGTACCTCACATCTACAGCAATCACAGGTTATTATTGTGATTATTACCAGCCAGGCACAGGGGGTTAACCACGAGACTCAAAAATCTCTCAGGGACTCTGAAGGTTTCAGATTTGTGATGACCCTGTAGTAATATTATTGACTGTAGAATAGTGGGAATACGAACCAATAAGACCACATGTAAAGTGCAAGGATCAGAGCATTAAGGAGGTTTATACCGTCAGTGGCCCTGCATACAAAAACATTTGAGCTGATTATAAGATGGTGCTTGATCAAATTACAACAAAATAAGTGACAGGAAGACTTCCATCATTGAGACTCCTCTGCTTTTATCATTTTACAGAAAATACAATCAATTCCAAAAGGAAACTGCAGCAAAGACACACCTTTAACATACTAAATATCTGAACCCTTGATGTCTCCTCTCTTCAACCTCCAGACTACAGCCTGGCTGCTGAGAGGCTGAAGAACCACCCTCGGCACAGGGACTACCTGGAGGCTGTGTCACAGAGCCAGCTCGAGAAGCTTCACATCATCCTGCGAGACCACATGCAGGGCTTCAGCCTGGAGCACAGCCTCGCCTCGTTCCAGCTGGACCCCGACCAAGACCTGAACAAACTGGACGACGAGGAGCTGGCTCGCAAGAAGGGCCAAATGGACGAACTGTTTGAGAAGAACCGCAGGCGCAAAGATGATCCTGACTTTGTCTATGACCTGGAAGTGGAGTTCAACAAGCCCACCCGAGAAAAGTGCAGCTGGGATGACGAGTCTGATGATGAATTTTAAAACCGTTCCCAATCCTTTATGTATATATAGTTTTGAATAGTAGTTTTTGTACTTTGTTAGAAAATATAACAGTTCTCAGTGATATCAGCAAGTTCTGTGTTCTATAAAAGTAAATGAGATATTGTTTTGATATAAATGTTACTGTTGAAATTAATGTGTTTTATTAATTTAAGGTTTAAGAACCACCAATCATGTGGAAATGGGGACACAGCAGGAGTTTCACAATCAAATAAAAGCAATCT